AAACAATAAAAATTAAAATTAAAATTTTAATTAATTTTAAAAATAAAAATTAATACGTACTTCTCTAATATTATTAAATAAATACGCACTAAGCTCTTAAACTACAACATTTTCCTTACTAAAACCCGCGCGTTCTTCCACGCGCCAAGTAGCGCGAAGCATTAATAACTTGGTCTGGGCCGAATGGCGAAACCCTAACTGTAACTGAGAGCGAAATCCCTCAGTTTTTCCAAGCAGGAAGAAAATACCGCGCACTCTTAGCAGGAAGGACGCATAATTCTTCTCTGAAGTGCTCTTTTCTTTCCGAACATTGTCGCCAATGCTTTAAATTTCTCTTTTTTACCTTCACTATGTCAGGAGATTGCCGGGAACAAGCTCCGGATACCGATGGAGGAAGAAGCGGCGGTATCGTGTCCGGTTCCGGAGCGGTGACGTCGACGGTGTCAAATCCGAGGCTGTGGCTGAACCCTAACAAGAAGCACAAGCCGGAGAGCTACGAGGATCTACAGCTCGATTTTGCTCCGTCCATCTTCAGCTCGTTAGAGCAATACTTGCCGCCGAGCATGCTTGGTGTTGGCAGAGACGATAAGGTGAAGTTCATGAGGGAGATTCTGTTGAAGTACCTGCCCCATGGAGAGCGTCACAGGGTATGTGTTTGTGCTATATACTTTTGTTTTTCTGTGTTTATAGCAGCTTCTGGAAATAACTGAGGAGGTTTCTAACTTATCTGAAGCACAAAGCTTAAGAGAGCACTCACTTTAGTGAAAGTAAGGAGCAGAACTCAACTGGGAAATTCTGGCAGGAAAAAAATATATGCATAGAAAGGAGAAAAGAAAGTTTTATACACTCTAAATCAAATAAGCTTATAATAATAGATAATTTTCTTAACAAAATACAAAAATTCTGCAATTCCGTCTAATGCCTTCTCATATTTTTTGGACTTTTTTTTCCACCTAGATTCAAGTTGCTTTCCATATTGTTTCTTGTCCTGTGTAACATAACATGTAAGGCCAATTGCTTTCATTCGGATTATTTCACAATTCAAACGTCTTTATTGTGTCAATTGGGATGCTATTTTTCAGGTGCAGAGACATAGAGAATACAGGCAGAAGATAATATCAAATTACCAGGTTTGAACCGCGCTAACTCTTGCTCCTCCTTTTTTTTCTTTTTTTTATGTAATTTGATATTAGAGGATTTAGATATAAGGTGCATTTTACTGATGACAGCTATGAATTAAAAATTAGATTTTTGCTATACGTGATAACGGTTTTCTTTTGTTAATTCTATTTCCATCCTCTGCAATATGCTTCAGGAAGGAAAGGGGCCTTGACTTTTTCTTGATCAAATCAACTCCACTTGATTTAGATGAATGAAATTCACATAATATAATGATTGGCCTGACATAACTGGAAAGACATTAAATCCTCTCTCTTGAAGCATGGAAGATTATGGAAGATTCTCCATATGCATGTATGACAGTGTGTGTGTGTGTGTGTGTGTGTGAGAGAGAGAGAGAGAGAGAGATGCAAAAGAAAGGTCTCAGGCAGTTTCTAGAGTCCTACTAGGATTTCATTTAAGTTCCTTGCAATAATAATACCTAGCAATTCAAACACCTCTAACTGTTGGTGGGAATAGAGTTATATCCTCCCTTTCACAAATTCATTTTTAGTTTGTCCAGTAAAAAAAAATCATTTTTAAGGAAGTTCTATAGAGATGCCAGCTCCTGTTCATAACATTGGTTCAATTATTTATGTATTTGCTTGGCTGCAAGTCCACAACACTTAAAATGAAAATGTTGCATGGATATGTTATCTGAGAGGAATTAAAATTTATGGCTATCATTTTAATTTGTGTGCACTGTGCAGCCTTTGCATAGAGAGTTGTTCACCATCCATCCTGAAGCATTCTTTGTCTCATCATTTCTCGAAGCTATCAGTGACAATGGTGAAGAAAGTTTTAGAGGCATAATGTCTGAACCCTCTCCAGGCGTGTTTACCTTTGAAATGCTTCAGCCACGCTTTTGTGAACTATTAGTATCTGAGGTAAACATGTAGCAATCTTGTTTTCCATGGTTTACCTAGCAATTCATCATGCATATTCTTTATGGATATTTTCCTTCTACTAGGTGGGAAATTTCGGAAAATGGGTCAATGAAGCAAAAGTCCGGATCATGCGTCCAAATACAATGAATAGGCATGGTGCTGTACTTGATGATTTTGGGCTTGAAACCATGCTTGACAAGCTTATGGAGGGTTTTATTCGGCCTATATCTAAAGGTTTTTACACCTGCTTATAGGGATTGTCCAGATTTTGTTTTCTTCAACATGACGAATTTTCCTTAGGAGTCTTCCTAAAGATTTAATTGGTTCTCATTCTTGTGCAGTTTTATTTCCTGAAGTTGGTGGATCAACACTAGATTCTCATCATGGTTTTGTTGTTGAATATGGTGAAGACAGGGATGTTGACTTAGGTAAGGTTTTCTATTTTATAAATTAAATTTGAAACTAGGCACTTTCAAATGGTATATGTCATACTTAATGGAATACCAAACAAGCTACAGCACCATGATGCATGACCATTCATCACAGTCATCTATAATAGTTAATGCTTATCTACTATTTTTTCTCCTCCTGTTTCATTTGTCTCTGAGACATTTAATTTGATCTAATCCTTAATTTTCTCACTTATTTCTCCTCTGGGGATGGAAGGCTGGTTATGGTATAACAACAAGAAGTTGACTGTTTGACAACTTGGGCAAACTCCTTTAAATTAATTTTGTCTTCTGTTAAACTTAATGAGGTAAAAGTAAAATAATGCTGTGCTTGTAGGCTTTCATGTGGATGACTCAGAAGTAACTTTGAATGTTTGCTTGGGTAAGCAATTTTCTGGAGGACAATTGTTTTTTCGAGGTACAAGATGTGACAAGCACGTAAATACAGGAACTCAGTCAGAGGTGTGTTAGTCTTTAAGGAGGTTGATAATATTTAAGATTAAGATATGTAGATTCAAGGCAGATCTAATTTTTGTAATATTGGTATCTTATCTTTTATAGTTAAGCTTTTCTTTTTTTGATGAAATATAGTTAAGCTTTTCTTCAGTCCTATTTTGACTTACTTGGAAAATTTGTTCCAGTTTTGTTTTGATATGTTTGTTGCCTACCATATTGAAAGAGGGATGTGTTTTTATCTACTAATTATCAACTACTTTTTAATACGATTTGTATTGGGTTATTTATGTAAAAAATTTTCTTTTGGATTATCTTAACTCTGAATTCCATTTGTGGTAATCCTTTTAAGCTAGTAGCATGCATTACATGTTAGTTTGTCAATTACTCAAATGTAAAATCCTGATTTGCACCTGCAATTATAAGGACATTCTCAATTTGTCAAGCAGAGAAGAAATACAGGCATAATATAGATAATTGGATCATTTTTAGATTTATAGATGGATTTCTATCTATGTCAAAGTGGTGTAAATCTAAATCATTAAAAAGGTTTCTTAGTAAGTTGTCAAGTTTTAAAGCATACAAATCAGATCATATCAGGCCTTTTTAGTGAACCATTTCTCTACAACCAGATGCTTTCAAAGTGATATTACCAATATTACCAATTACATATGTTTATGAGATGGTGTGATATGGTTTACTTAGGATTTCTTTTGTGTTTTATTAGTAGTTCATTTATGTGATAAGGCTTTCATCTGGTTGCAGACCTTCTTGATGGAATATTTTCTGTAAAAGCAGGAAATCTTTGAATATTCCCACATCCCAGGACGAGCTGTGCTTCATCGTGGTCGACACCGACATGGTGCAAGGGCCACAACTTCTGGTCACAGGATCAATCTACTTTTATGGTGCCGAAGGTACTTAATATTAATATTTATTGCCTAACATTGAGAAAGAAGTGAAAAAATTAGTGCTGCATCAAGGTATGATTACTTGGGGAATCCTAGACATAGGTGCAAATGATTATAGTGGTCAGATTTCTCTTTGCTATTTAACCATTGTTATCCAGCATAAGTTTCCGCTAAGAATTTTGAGCCATGGTTCAATCCTTATCTTTCTTGTCCTTTGGTCTCTACACAGTTCAGTCTACAGAGAGATGAAGAAATATCAACGAGATTTCTCTAGCTGGTGTGGAGAATGCTTTCGTGAGAAAAAAGAAAGGCAACAGTTGTCAGTTGCTGCTATCAAATTGGTACAGCATTTTCTTTATGCAAGCATAAACATGAATGGTTTTTTTTTTTTTCCTTTTTGGGTAAATATACACATGAATGGTATTTATTAAACAGAATAGTAGACTAGGACACTTGCTTAATTAAATTGGATCCTTGTCCTGCTCAATTTTGCAGTTCCCTTTATAGAGAGAGAAAATTATTGAGTAATTTTAGTTGAAGCATCTGCTAATTTTCTTATTATCAAAATAACTAGCCAACCCACAGATGAATTAACTACCATTATGTGTGCAACTTAATCCTCCCCATAATTTTTATCATTTATAAATTTATAAATTTTACTGCATTGTGGTATTTATGGTGAACTACAAGTATTCTCTAAGAAACATTATAATTCATTTCCTGATACTGAATAAACAGGATATGGTTTCCTTTTCTTTTCAGCCAATAATAGGATATGATTTATGATTGAGCCAAAATGCATACTTATCCAAATTACTCAATGCAGGAGCTGCTTAGGAGGGAAGGTGAATCTGTGACATAAGTTGTAAAGTTGGCTCTATAGTTACAGTGCCATGGTAGAACTTTTTGTAACATAAAGGGAGGTCTGTTTTGTGCTTCATCTTTAACTTTTCATGTCTGGCAAATGTCATAAATTATTTAAAGTGATAGTTTGTCTGTAGCAGTCAGTCTGTCTGGTAGATTTTTGTAGGTAAAAGTTTCTTTATCGCTCATTCGATTTCATATTCTGTAGAATCAGTGCTGTATGATGGATTGTAAGAAAATTGGGCGTTCAAAATGCAGTCCATTCTCATTTATTTTGATTACCTACGCTTATTTTACTATCAAAAAGAAGGAAAGAGAAAGGGGG